CCTCTACGAATTTAATAAAGATGGCTATTTTTCATTTTATATGTCTAAGATTCTTTCATCACTAATTGTTATGATGAAAAATGTGCAGTGGTCATGGAATATTCACAAACGATCCAAAGCTGAGTAGTTTCGTCGAGCATATATGTTACGGAGTATGATCAAAATTAAAAAAAAACAAGAAAATTGTCATGGTTTATGTAACACCCCCAAATTTCCCGCCCAAAACATTGATATAATTGAAATAAAACTTTTATTTATTGATAATGAAATTTAAAGAGTACAGCGAAAGTCTAAAATAGGGAAATGGGTGTTACCGCCACATCCGGTCATCTCTCAACCGAATGCACAGGCAACTAAAACAAAACAATAAAGAATAATAGATAAATGTTTATTTAGAACTAAGTTCGACTAAGGAAACTTCTGATTCGCTCTCAGGCGCATGCATTCAGCAATCAACATGACCATCATCACCTGCATAAATAAAGTGCAGAAACAAAGCAAAAGAAAGAAAACAAAAATTAGCTTTAGAGCTAAGTAAGTACTACCCAACCCCGTAAAATAATCAGGTTTGATTAAAATAGATTTTTATATAATATTATATAAAAATGACGCACTCCACCAAAATACTTTTCTCTTTGATTTTTCTTAAAATCACTTCTTTGCTAAAATCTTCAACTTCTCTTGGAAAATCTCTTAGTAATTCTTCACTTTAAACTTCTTAAGAAATCACTTCTTCTCTAACTTCCTAGTAATTTAGAAGGGCGGTGCTCAACCTTTCGACTGAGCCCGGTGGACCGTGGTTAAAGACGGTCACCCCGAACAAGTGCCGGTACCACAACTGCTCTTGCGGAAACGAAATGACTACCTTAAGTGTGCACACCCCCTAAAAGGGATTCCAAGCCCTCCGAGTAGTAAGTCATCCCGAGTGGTCGGAACCCAACCACCCCACCTCTAAAATTCTTGAATGATTAGGGACTACTACTATAACTTCTTCTTAAAAGGGATCATAGATCCAAATGTCATTTGAAACTTAAACTGTATGTACTTCTTAGTAGTAGTAGCTCTAATCACCCTCCACATTTATCCGGATGTGGAAAACCGACACCTCGGATTACTCCCGAGATGCTCACTTCTTGTGAAAATGTAAATTTTATCTTCGCTTAAACAATACTTCAAAAATACTTCTTAATTTCTCTAAAAAGTCTCGAAGGTATTTAAAAATATTTAATACCCCAAAAGTACTTGATTTATATTTCTTATCTACCATATATATAATATCTCCTCAAAATCACATACACAAAATTTACAATTCACACTTAATCACATAATGCATAATAAGCATATAATACGAGGAAACAATTTTGGATTGGCAGAGAAACTAACAATTTAGAGTTTATCCAAAACTAGTTCCAAAATAGTATTTAATACCATATTCAAAATAATCCAATAAGAATATTTATAACTCCAGAATATATATGTAAATGTAAATTTTCATACCAAATTATACATTTAAAAATATATATTTTATCCCAAAATATTTGATCTCACAACACTTTCCAAAAAGAGGGTTTAACCCAAACAACCACTTCCCAAAAGTAGCATTTACTACTACCATCAAAATAATCAAATTGGAGTATTCTGAACCCATAATATATTTTCAATATAACCAGTTATAATAGTCTCAAATCATACTTCAACTCATATCAAAACAATCATCAAAATTTTCCAATCCCAAAAGAAAAATCATCAAAAATCACAATTTTAACCATGATAAACTGATTTGATAAATTCACCAAAAATCACACGTTCATAAATTCCCAGAAAACCATAAATCATCATACTCATACTATGATAGCCGAATTATCCATAAAATATCAGAAAGAAACTCAAATCATAGCACAAACCCTAGTTTTTACAATATAGAGGCAAAATAATAATTTTGGTTGCAATAGTCCTTACCTCGAGGCTAGCAACAAATCCTAAACGTCAAACCTAGTTTGATGGATCATTCGCACGTACCTAGGAAGTGATAGGTTCGAAGGATCTCAATTTAGGAGAAAGAAATTTAGGAAACGGATGAACGACGCAAATTAGGCAACAAACGCACTTACCGGAATATTGGATTGTTTGATCTCATCATTGGCATAAAAATTCGTGCTGGATACGTTAATATTGAAGAGCTGGAAGGGATAGAGCTTGAAGAGGCGGTCCTAGGGTTTTTGGAATGAGGAAAATCGGATTAGGGATGTATTTATAGTGAATTTCCGAAGTTTGAGTTGCATTAGGATACAACAGGAACGCACGCGTGCGTACCTTCCACGCACGCCGTGCGTGACCCCCGGACGCCCCTAACCTTAGTTTTTGCCCCGTTTCTTCCCCACTTGGACCTCCCCTTTGTCCCAAACACTAAACCAAACATAATAAATGACCTAAAGATCGTGTAAACAATATGAAACACAATTTTAATTATTTCCTAAATTCTCTCAAATTTTCGGGGTATTACAGTTTATTGGTTAACCGTTAGCGATTGGTTAACCGTTAGTGGTTAACATATATATTGGTTAACCGGAATTCGGTTAACCAATGTTATGGTACGGTTAATGATATATAAAATTTAGTAACCGATAACACGGTTAATCGAAAATTGGTTAACCGAAGTGCGGTTAACCGACCATGCCCACCCCTAATTGCCTCCCACCGTTTCTGATTCAAGAACGAATCCCCTATTCTCCTCTTCTTCAATGGTAATTTTACTCGAATTCTCAACCAAGTGATCCGTTGGTAAATAAAAAAGAACTCACAGAAAAGTTTTTCTCTAAACAAATTGAAAAGAGGGCTAAACAACAAGCGCTCACACAGAACGCACACAACACTCGACAAACAGAAATGTCGGACCACAACAACATCTGATCTCCAAAAGAGAACAAAGGGGGAACCAACGAACAAGAGGGGACATGAAACTCCTAGAAGTCTCTCAACGAAGCAAGGAAACAACGACTTCGGTCTTCTTCCTCCACTCCGTATTATGTTCAAGACTTTCGATCTAGTCAGTCGTCAACTGATACGATTCTCCAAAGTCGCCACCGCATCATTGCATTAGGGGTTTTCTCCTTCCCATCTTGATTTTTTTCCTCAAATTTTTTTTGAGTATCCTAAAGCATATTGAATCCTCATGGCTCTGAATGTCGAGATGAACGGAGGTAATAGTTTTAGGTATAAATTAATATCAACTTTTTATATTGATTTTTATAATATATGATATATGGATGAACCATATCAAAACATTTGTACGTCAAAAACATTGGGGAACTATTAAACATTTCAAGTACTTAACATTTCAAGAAGTCCTAGATGTCGTCATAGATCAGGTACTCGAGTGGAGGTGGCATAACTGAAAACCTTGTCCTCGTTGCCACCAATTAAAAAACTAACGGCCACGGTTGTATCTGTTATCCCAATCTAAAAGTTATTGCCTCAACTAGACAATAAATTCATTGTCAACGAGGGATTCATCATCACCAATAGGGTTGGACTCAGCCCGGGCCAACCGGCCCGGAACCGGACCAGCCTGCTACTGTGCGGGCCCGGACCGGCCCGGTGAACCGATTGGTTGGCCGGTTCGGGTCACCCGGCCCGATGGGATGGCGGTTCGAGCTCGGGCCCTTCAAAAGGTGAACCGGCCCGGCCGGTTCGGGCCCGGGCTAGGCCTTTTTTTTTTGAATTTTTTTAAGTTTATGGGTTGGGCTGGGTATTTTGGGCCATTTGAGGTGGTTAGGGTTGGTTTGGGGGTGAGGGGGAGGGTTAGGGGTTAACTAGGAAAAGCCAAAAAAAATAGAACTGAGGCCCGGCCCGGACCCGGGGGTTACCCGGGCCGGTTCCGGGCCTCCCCTTCATGAACCGAGGCCCAACCGGGCCCAGGCCCGAACCGGGCCCGAACTGGAACCGGTCCATCCCTAATCACCAATGGTTGCCCAATATTTGATGGATTCATCATTGCATATTGCCTCGTCAAATCAACACCGGAGTTGCTCAGTCGATGAAGAGAGCAACAATGTAGGAGCATTGTCCGGCGATGTTGAAGAAGATAGCAGTGACATAATCAGCGCCATCTACCATCAATGGAGATGTCATTGGTATATCCTGAATGAAGAAAGAAGTGATTGTGCGGATCTGATCTTTGGTCGAAGGAGGATGCAGGCTAATGACACAAAACATAAGAAGATGAGAGATTTGATCGGGGGCATTAGTGGTGGACTCGGGCGGGGTGGCCCGACCCGGTGGCCCGATCAGTGACCGGTCCGGGTAGGTCCGACCCGGTGGCCCGGTCAGTGACCGGTCCGAGTAGGCCCGACCCGTGGGTTTTCCAGTTCAGGCTCAAGTCACCCAAAAGAAGGCCCGGCCCACCCGGGCCCGGTTCGGGTCAAAATTGATTTTTTTCAATTTTTTTTCAATTTTCGGGTTGGGCTGGATATTTTGGGCCATTTGGGGTGGTTTGGGGGGTTGGGGGTGGGTTAATTAGGAAGAGGGAAAAAAATTGATAATAGGCCTGACCCGACCCGGACCCAGTGGGTACCCGGGCCAGTCCTGGGCCCATCTATTCAGAACCGACGGCCCGGCCCAAGTCCAACTCTAGGGGGCATATGTGAATTTGATCTTGAAAGTTGTGGACATTTGAGATATTGAACATCACTTTTAGTCCCTTATTTGTCCTAAATAAAACTATAAAAGTTGGTTTTGATTTTCTCCAATAAAAGATATGAGTCATTTTTGTCACATTTTAATGTTTTAGTTGTATGACTTGTATCCAATGTACTTGCAGGTTTCCAACATAGGGAAAACAGCACATGCATCTACATGGATGGCTACTACAATAAGAGGTTCAGTTCATCATGGATTACTAAATAGATGGACATGATCTTGGCTTCTAAACTCCAGATCGCACCACACCGAGGTTCTGAAACCCTAACTGACTATTTCTTAACCCCTAAAATAGCTCAGTCTAAAAGATTTACTTTCCAGTTTTTTTACAAAATAGAAAATCCGGGTTTGAAACAGGAGCAAAACTGAAAACCATGTCTATAACAGAACAGGAACTCATAGGGTATAACTGGTTCCGATTACGGCTCTAGTTATTGGAGGACCTGAAATGGAAAAACTGCTCCACTCCTACTAACTACACCATTCTTGAAAAAATAACATGTTAACAGAAACAACAAACAATTCTGATCCAAACATGGCATCGGCAAATTTACACAATTTTATAGAGCCCTATATGACTCCGTTATGGAGTCATATAGGGTGCAATGACATCATCACAGCCATTCATCTAGGACCCCCAAAAAATGAAAGGTTGTGATGATACAGTACTCTTTGAAATTTGTGATGATGGCATATAGGGCTCTTTGAAAATTTTGTCATAAAAACAGCTTAGGTTGCAAGAAAAAGGAGTGGGGGTAACATTATGTTTTGCCGCCATCATCCCCCCTACCCCTCTCCAACTGGTTTCCACCACCAGCAAGCCGTCGAGTCCATTTTTCTTGTGATGTGGTGGTAAGATGAGGAGAAGGCTCCATTGTACAAGTGGTTGGAACAGCATTCTGATAAACTCCTTTAGGCGGTGAGAGCTCAGCTGGAAGGGCAGCGGCAGCATTCGTAAAGGCATTTAACACAAGAAACGCCATTACCGGCGAAAGATCCAGGGTCCCACCAAGTGGTGGGATGATTCCACGGAATATGTTCAAATAGGGATCACACAAGGTGCTGAAAGAAAATACCAAACTTGTTCATACACTGAATTATGTAAAGAAAAATCTCGCATAAGGTTTAAGGGATATACTATTGTTGTTTGATTAATGTGCATTATGGTCCAGTGACTACGGCCCAATTATGAATTATATAAGATGTCATATTCAGCGCTATTCAGATCCTATCTATTGTACGAAGCCAGTGTTTCACTGGAATATTTTGAAGTGCTTTTAGAACATAATGCGGCATAAGGCTCCATTTGTTTAAAGCACTATATATATTTGTGTGTGTGTGCACGCGCGCATTTGTATTTAAAAAAACATGATGTCATTGCTAGATTATATATATAAATATATATTTGTATTGAAAAAAAACATGATGTCATTGTTTAAAGCACTACATATATTTGTGTGCGTGCGCGCGCATTTGTATTTAAAAAAACATGATGTCATTGCTAGATTATATATATAAATATATATTTGTATTGAAAAAAAACATGATGTCATTGTTTAAAGCACTACATATATTTGTGTGCGTGCGCGCGCATTTGTATTTAAAAAAACATGATGTCATTGCTAGATTATATATATATATATATATTTGTATTGAAATACTTTCCTCGCAACAGAAAATATTGCCTGAAGAAAGATGTTAGGAAAACAATTTCCATGACTTTATTAATCACTTGGGGGTCAAACACTCAAACACTACAATATGCATAGAACAATTTACTTTCTATGAAAAAGTTTTTTTAACAGAAAATATATTCTATAAAAGCATTCTCCAATGAAACCATTTCCGCACTCTTATATTCCTGCAATCATTTACGTGGGACAAGAAATCTGAATTGATTCTGAATTTATTAACATCAATTGTAACAGAAGACTTTGTTTTAGATAAATTAAGAAACTACGGAGAAGAGAATTCAGGCCTTCAAAGGCAGTAAATACTAAAGTGAACCAAAACAAAATGTAAAATTTGTAGGTAAACAAAATATGGAAATTGTGAAGAATTACCTGAGCGGGGTGACAATGGCGGAGGGAGCATTAGGGAACCAGGTCAAAACAAGCCTGAGTACGAGTACGGAATTGTAGATGTTCAAGAACATCGAAATTCCATTAGTAACCACAGCTCCTGCAACTGAATCTCCTGGTAAAATGGCTGCAAAACTGTGACTGCTGGTGGATAAAGCCTTAAAGTTCTTGCAACCTTTGCTGCTTTCGATCTGGAAGTGAATGAAGCTCAAATGTGTTAATGGTGGTATATGTGTAGTTAAATAGATTTATTGTCAATTAGGATGGTAGGAAATGTACATGAACTATACTTAAATAAATAAACTCCCTAGGTCATTTTATATTACCTCCATGGATAAAAGAAGTTTGCATCTTGCTATTTACAAATTATTTATTTTTTGTAATATATTTGTTTACTAATAGTGAATAAAGTTTATATGTTTTGGAAAATAGTGAAAAGTTCTATTAGACACAATCAAATTGGGGAAATAACAAGAAATGGTTAAGATAATAAAAGAAGAAAGAAAGTTGAATAGCATAGCAAATGGGAAATGGGAGAAAGAACTAAAACTGAGGTGGTAAGAAACTAGGAACACATAAATAAACAAGAAAAAAGACTCAAATTTAGTTACATGGATCCTTGGCCAATAAGGTACTGATCCAGTATTTGGTATATGAACCATCCTCCATCCTACAAAGCATGTATTCTCTTTGGTACCTTAACCAGTCAAAGTCCCAAAGACTCAAAGACCCAAACAGTGATTCAAATAGCATAACTAAATGCTCCAGTGAATAAAAACCCCTTAACCAGTCAAAGTCCCAAAGACTCAAAGACCTAAACAGTGACTCAACAAGGAAGTGGAATCACTGGCAGTCAAACACAAGTTCTCGCTGATCGGGTCTTTTTGAGAGGACGCCCTAGCATGGCTACAATAAGGAAGGCCTTTGATAGCATTGACATGGATGAAGACTACCAGTGCTGCTGGTCGAGACAGTCGTGGAGAATGAATGGCTTCATCATGTGGATAATGAAATGGACTGCCAATTTCCGCCGCAACATTGACTCCCCTATGACCCTATCGTTTTGATTTGGATCGCAATGGAGGGACTCCCCATTCACCTGCAGGACAAAAGGGCCTTATGTACCATTGCCAGCATGGTGGGAAACCCTCTTAAACTGATATCATGGCCATAGGTTGCAAGAGTCTGTGTTGAACTTGATCTAGCGAAGGAAATGCCCATGCAGCTATGGATTCAGAATATCAACGTGGTTTTGCTCAACCTGTGATTTATGAAAACCATCCATCTTATTGCATGAATGCTCAAGGTTGGGACATGCATCCCATGCATGCCCTAAAACAGGTAAAGCTATTACTGCTAAACCCATCTTAAACCTTTTAAAGGTCATCGAACGAATCAGAAGGCCATTCAAAGGAAAGTTAAAGATCCCTTCAATGCCGTCTTCTCTCAGACTAGAGTCCAAGAGAAAGTGCCTAATAATAATCTTTCAGCCTCTGAAAAGAATGAGACATCTATTGAGAAAGAGACTCTAAGTGATATGGTTTGGTAGTTGACAAATTGACACGTTACATTTGGAGCAGCCTGCTTTTTCTGAGGGTACGCTTGCAGAGGAAGCATCTGAACAGCCTATTACTAACGTTTCTGAAGAGCCTACTAGGGAAAATATCGAGGAGAACATTGAAGAAAATCTTGAGGAGCAAAAAGAGACTGCTACTGAGAAAGACCCTATGAAGGAGAGCATTAAGGAAAATCTTGAGAATCATAATGAAGAGCCTCCTGCATCCAAAGTGGATGTTGCACTCCCTGTGAGCGATACATCTGCTTCTGATTGCTAGTGGACACCTCTCTCAGAAAATATTGACAATGATTCTGCCTCCGCTAACACTTCTGTGGAGACTAGGGAGATAGACCTCTATCTTATTCAAGCAAAACTCACACACTAGGAAGAAAACCCTAGTCTATCTGGAATGACTTAACAAAAGGTGTTCATAGGAAACGATCCAAAAACTATCCAGAACTCCCGCAGTGCTAAATAGATAAGCTGCTCGGAAAGGTACTCAAGCTTCCTTTCCTTCTCCTGAATGAATTGTCTCATATGGAATTGCCACGCTTTGCATCCTCCTGCCCAACGTTACGTTCACTTATCAGGAAGAAGGACATCAAACTACTAAATAATAATGAGCCCATTGTACATAACAATAAGGGTGATTGTTTTAAGCTGCAGGTTGGATTCTCAAACATCTACATGGCTCCTTGTGGTAGAGTATGGGTATTTTGGGATAGCTCAGTCATTAACTTGACACATCTCCATCATGGTGATCAGTTTATTCATGGAAAAGTGGCTTTCCTTGATAAACCATTCTGGCTGCCATATATGATAAGAACACTACATTGGAAAGAAGGAATTTATGGAATTCTGTTATGAACTGGTATGATGGTAACAAAGAGCCTTGGGTCATTAGAGGTGACTTCAATGTCATCTCTTCCATTAATGATCATCTCCTGAGGAGGTCATCTCTTCCATTAATGAACTGGTATGATGGTAATAAAGACCCTTGGGCCATTGGAGGTGGCTTCAATATCATCTCCTGAGGATGTGGCTTCAATGTCATCTCCTCAGCCTTCTTTCCAATGGCGTTCTGTATATGTCATCTCAGCCTTCTCAGTACCCAGTGGAGTTCCAGTATTGAGTGATCTAGCCTTTGCTGATGAACTCCTCATATTCATTAATGGCTCCTCTAGATCTTTGATGAGATTTAAGACCTTCCTCTAGGATTATCACAATGCAACTGGCCAACTTATCAATCTTCAAAAGAGCTCCTCTGTTCTTGGCAATAAGGTTCCTTGTGGCAGGAAAAAAATGATGGAAAAGATCTTGGGTATGAAATGCTCTAAATTACCCTTTAAATATCTTGCTGTATATGTTCAGAAAGGTATTAATCGTCTACAGCACTGCTGTGATTTAATTTCTCAATTTGAGAATTGTTAGAATATACATATTTAATAGTCAATATATTCTATGTATATATATGGTAGCTAATATATTCTCTGCGATAGACTAAATATTCTAGGTAAATCTGACAGATTTAGTTTCCTTTTTGTATTCCCTAGCTTGTATGTATTTATACTGGTCATACCTAATGATAATGTAGAGTGATTTCATTGCATCTTTAATTCTTATTACTCAGTTTACATGGTATCAAAGCCACACAGGTTCTTCGGGTAGTACTTCCCGAAGTTCAACTCTGCTCCCTCCCTCTGGTTCGATTCAGCTCTCTTTTGTGCGGCACAGGACGTTGTTCGCAGGCGCAGGCGTGGTAATCCGGATAGTGCAGAACAATTGTCGCAGGTCTGATTTTCTGGACACTATCTTTACTATTTGCACCAGTTCTCTTACCCTGTTCTTGTTATCACTCTTGCCCTAGTTGTTTGCAAGCATGGGTGATGATAAGAAGAGTGTGACTGAGATTACTGTCGGTAATGCTAGAATTACCGAGAGAAAACTGACTGGTAGTAAAGATTACGGGCAGTGGAAACGGACTATTACTAGATACGTTAATAGTCTTGATCTGGGAGATCATCTAACTGAAATGGCTCCTCCAAGAAGTAATCCTGATGAAAGAAAAAAATGGATGATGGCGGATGATAGGTTGTTCAATCAAATTCAGAATACTCTGGATCCTTCTATTGATAGTATCATTACTCATTGTGATACTGTCAAAGAAATGTGGGAATACTTGGAGTCTATGTATGCCAGTAAACAAGATCTCTCTTATGTTCATCAATTACTGGTGCACTACTATAGACCGGAGATGAGGGATCAGACGCTGTTTCAATACTATAATGAATGTAAACAGATTTTTGAGGAAAAGCGGTCCCGATTCCCTATTACTGCTGATGTTAAGAGTATGCAAGAACAAGAGGAGCGAACATTTGTTCATGGTGTTTTGGTTGGGCTTGGTCCACAATATGAGGTATCAAGGAGTCAAATACTGTCTGGTGGGACCTTTCCTAGTTTTTCTGACCTCTATGGACGTCTCCTTCCAGTGTGCAAAGATGGAGAATCCAGAATGATGAACTCAATTGATACTGCTGCCTTAGTCAGTGATGTGAGCCATGGTAAAAGGACCAATTCAGTCACTACTGAAGGGACTCGTAATTCTTCTCGCACATGTTATCACTGTGGAGCTGAGGGTCATGTGAAGAAGAATTGCTGGAAATTACATGGTCGTCCACCACAGACTTCTGGACAGTTTCCTCCCAGGCGTGTTGCTAATACGGTTATCCAGGATGGTATCCTACCAACTCCTTCCACTGTTACTATCTCAGTCGATGAATATGCTCGGCTACAACAACTTTCTCTCATAGCCTCATCTGCCACCACACAAGTTGATACAGGTAATCCAGCTGCATGCCTCTCTACATCATCACGCAATTGGGTGATCGATTCTGGCGCAACGGACCATATGACTGGTAATGAAAGTATTTCGGATTCATTTACCTCTTCTGCTAACCAGTCTCATGTTACTTTAGCAAATGGATCAACCGCATCTGTCAATGGCCTTGGAACAACAACTCTTTCTCCAAACCTTTCTCTATCTTCTGTTCTATATTTATCTCAATTTCCGTTTAATTTAATCTCAGTCAGTCAGATTACTAAAGCCCTAAACTGCTGTGTTATTTTCTTTCCCACTCATTGTCTTTTTCAGGATCTTGGGACGAAGCAGATTATTGGTAAAGGTAGACTGGTTAATGGCTTATATGTTTTTGAATCCTTGGTGACGAGATCAGTTGCATGCACAAGTTCATCTCTGTTGAAAGTTCACTGTCAATTTGGTCATCCGTCTCTTTCTGTACTACAAAAAATGTGTCCTAGTCTATCACGGGAGTCTGTTTTGGAGTGTGAAGCATGTCAGTTTGCTAAGCATCATAGAACAAATTTCCCTCCTCGAATAAATAAAAGTGTTGAGTCTAGTTTTGATTTAGTTCACACTGATGTGTGGGGTCCTTGTCCTGTCGTTTCCAAACTTGGTCATCGTTATTTTGTTACATTTGTGGATGATTTTTCACGGGTTACTTGGCTTTATCCTTTGAAATCCCGATCAGATGTGTTTACTGCATTTTGTACCTTTCATGCTGAAATTCAAACTCAATTTAATAAGAATATACGCATTCTGAGAAGTGATAATGC